TATATGACCGAAGGTTAAGATCCAGTTACAGGCAATTCATTTTGTTTCATGTGGCGAAAAAGTAACCCGAAAAGCGTTTTTAAGCCCCGGCTTGGCCATAATTTACCTGTTTGTTCATTGTGAAAAAATTCCCTTGCTGCTGAAGTTTTTGTTTTTATAGCTCCTCCCTTCCCACAAATGCCTTGTTTTGACTGGAAAAGATGAAAATACGATAGATGAGATAACCTCAGGTGCTATATTTTCAGCGTTTCCAGTCAAAATAACACAATTTTATAAAGGGAGGAAGTGTAAAAAAAATTCGAATTACGCTGACGAGATAAGCGCAAGCTATTCGAACGACATGCTACTGCTCGTCATTCCAAAGCACAAACAATTGAAAATAAAAAAAAACACAAGTCCGGGTGGCCTCTTGAATCACACGTTAATTACAGCTTAAGAACTTTTAGCTTGCAGGCTTTCTTACTTCTAAAATGGAAAATCGGTCTACAATTCGGCCCGAAGTAGTGGATTTGCAGATGTTATATTTTTTAAAAGGTGGTCCCAGGTTACTGATCTTGCAATACTGTGCAAGTAATCTCAAAAAATCCCATCTCATGGTTTTGTTTTATGCACTAGTTAGATCCTGAAGTTGAAGGCCAGGAAATGATGCAAGATTTCATCGCAAATGGTCAAGGACTGTGCTTGTAGAATTTCAGCTGATCTGCGTAAAAATTTTCTGAGATAAATAATCTGACGCCAGCACAAATCCACCTATCTACCCATACATAACAAACATACATACATACATACATACATACATACATACATACATACATACATACATACATACATATATATACAACATACATACATACATACATACATACATACATACATACATACATACATACATACATACATAATATATACATACATAATATATACATACATAACATATACATACATAATATATACATACATAATATATACATACATACATAACACATACATACACAAATACATACGCAAACAAAACATTATATAAACATATGTATATGATATACATAGCATGCATATATACATACACGCATGATGTGTCCATAAACACGCACATACACACGCGCACACACACGCACACACACACACTGACAGGGCCGTTGCAATATGCATTTTTGCTGCCTGTTGCAGCGCTCTAGCACTGCACGGCAAAAACGCATAAAAATGAAAAAGTCCTCACTACCACTAACTGGAGGTATGACGACTCACGTCATCAAAATGAACTAGAAGTTCAGAACACAGACGGATCCAGGTGGAAGGGGACGATAGATCTTTCGCCCCCTCCCCCCCCTCCCCCCCCCGCCGCCCCTGTCCTCCTCCTTCAGCGGCACAGGCACCTGCTGCAAAAGTCAGGGTCTAAAGATGAAATTGAAGAAAACTCTCTTCCACACTCCCCGTCGACCCCTCAGGAGCCCCACTTCATCCGCCGCCCTCCCCCGCCCATTCCTTCCTCCTCCCCCTCCCCCAACTTTCGCTCATCCCCTCCCCTTGGAGGCCGTTCTGGAATCGTCTATGGTCTAGAAGGCCTGGCATAGCTGCGCCTTGCTGAAAACATACTTGATGTCACCGTTGAAATGCTCTTCGCCGGGGAAAAGCCGTTGCCAGGGAAGATAGAAATTGCCCCAGATCCATCCAAGCGGTGGTTTTGCCGCATGTTGCAATTCGCCAATTGTATGTCCTGCTTGATTGTGTAAGGCGCTGTTGATCTGGCGCGGCTGAAACAGATTCCCAGATAGCTCTATGGGATTTTCTCATTCAAATAATTTACCTCAAGTTAAAAATACGCTCCGATTCACGGGCGCGTTATTTTTGTGCGTTTTTTGCAGCAATGCAATGCGAAAAACGCATATTGACGAGCGGTTGTCTGTGTGTCTGTGCGTCTGTGTGTGTGTGTCTGTGTGTGCGTCTGTCACGCACATTCATCTCAGGACCTATAACAGCTGCGGGGCTGAAATTTCGGAAACTTAATCTACATGCACGTGCCGGCCCCAACCCCCAAAATTGGCGCCAAAACCCACGTGGTACCCGCGTACAGGCCCGCCAAAGTTTTTTTGGGGTCAGTTCATAACTCGAGGATCTGAGA